TATAACTTTTATTAATGAGCTCGGCGGACATATTTAGGGCCTTTTTGCGAGGGTGCACCCCCAGCGGATGCGACCTTTAGCAGCTCACAGGGCATCATCACAGTGCCCATTCAAGTTTTGCCTTCCATATTTATGGTATCAAAATAATTTTAACCTTTGGAAAAAAAGGTGTCTGGACTGAACAAGAAAGTAAAGCCCTGTGGTTCCCATGATCAGACATTGTAAATCATTTTGCAATCCTTGCAGTCAGATTCTGAATTGCTTATATTTCAGGTGTTATCTGAACTGATGATTACATTACCTAAGTAGGTTTAAAGTTTTTCTGTATTATTACTTATTTGATTTGAAGTTGTTTGATTTGCTGAATATTTTGCAATTATTGCTGGAAAATGGGTCAATGAGCTGAATTCATTGACTGTAAGTTCTCAGTGGGATTTTCAGGCAGGAATTGGATCAAGTTGGACACGCACAGGTCTATGGTTTGTCACTCTTGGTCTTTATTCCTTGTGACTCCCATCCACAAACATGCATGCGGTCAACTAGAACAGTAAAAACATAAACCACGTTGCTATACTCGTGGAGTACTTAACTACAATAACGCCATTACAAAAAAAAGGCGAATTCTCATGCAAGGTTATTTAGGCCTATCACAGCTATCTAAATAATAATCAGAGTCAGCCCAAAGGGCTACAGAACTAAATAAAAATGTGTGAAAAAGAAGCAGGACTCTCAGACTGCAGTCCAATCCACAAGAAATCCCGAAAAGCAATGTTCTTTACACGTATATAGTGAAAACCCATGCACATGTAAATTCACACGGCATTCCAACGTAACCTGTGCATAACACGTGCAAACTTGCTGCAGAAATTCACTAACTTTAATCCCAATAATCGCATTGAATAACTCTGAAATATAAAGCCAAATTCTTACCACTTTTCCCATTCCCCACTGAGGTTACTATTACATCGGTGAGATGACTACATCCTATCTTTAGGGCAAGGAATTGTTATGAATCTGAACGGTACGTGGTCTAGAAATTTCGATCAAAGTGAAAGTTACGTCTACTCCGCTAGCGCTACAATTGAGGACCGCGCAAGGGCGTCACCGGTCGGATTGATACTGTCGAAACTTACAATGACACGCTCTTCACTCCTGGAACAGAGTTTAAGATTTTCAAATGTAATGAAACTGAACCACTCGAGTGTGAGGGTTCTCAAAGCGGGGAAGATGCAGGGAAGCGTGTTTTAGGGGGTAAAGGTAGCTTATTTGGCATGCCACCCGGCCCCTTAGAAATGTATAACAAATTAAAATGCCCGCGAAGACTGCGGTGGGCGCATGAGTTCCAGTGTGGGCACCACAGAGTGCTGTTTGGAAGGCCAAGTCTACGGTCGGATCGCACACCGGCCTGGCATTCGGGGAATTTGAGGAATTGGGGGAATACGGCATTTCGTTTCATGTAAAGGAATAACAAGAGATCTGAATTGTAATTATTGTAACCATACCTGGACTTTTGAATCCCCTAAAGTTGACGAGTAAATAAAAACTCTGTATATTTTGAGACAGTTACATTTGGACTCTTTCTGCCCGACTTCCTTTGCGTTGGCGTCCTTAAACTAATAATTTAAGCGGACCTCCATAAAGATGGCCTGTCATTACATTACTTCCAGGTAGAAACCTTTTTTTTTTTTAAATTCACTTCGTTTTTCATTGGGACCCATTTTTGTCATTTCCTGTATTTTTCACCTTACTTATGGTGCCCAGTTTTCACACTTTTGTCGAATTCCCCTCAGATCACGTGTGACACTGTCGTGTGTCGCGTCGTGCCGTCGCCCGTCGCGTCGTGCTGTCTTAGGTCCCTTCCTTGTTGAATTTTTTTTCTGCCTAAACGTCGACCCTTCCGTCGCCTATCGCGCCGTGCTGTCGTGCGTCGTGTCGTGCATTGCGTCGCCTGAAGCACGGACGACGCACGACACGACGCACGACGCTGTCGCCCTAAGCTTCATGGTGTTTATAGAGGGCGCCTTTACCGTTTTCTTTCATTTCCGTCCACCTTTCTTGCAAAGTACATGCAATTCGCTCTTTGGTGTTGATTTTTCATTGTTCTTATTTCATCGATTCATTGATTGGGATTAATTTCTGTCATATTTTTAAAAAAGCAAAAGGAAATCCGAATATGTTGAAACTGCCCTCTCAAAACAAGTGGAAAAAGCAAGCTTAGAATTGGTCACTCCTTAATTTCCCAGCAATTATTTCTTACGTTTTCTCTCATTTCCGTCCATCGCGATTCCAAAATATATGCCCTGAGCTGCAGGCGTTGATTGGGGGGGGGTTGTTCATCCATTCATCAAATTTAATTAGTTTTTGTCATATTTTATCGAAAAGAATATGAAAACGAGCAAAAAGAAAATCAGCATATGTAGGTGCTCTCACATAATTGGTCTAAGCCCAGAATTCGTCACTATTTAATTTACCCGGCTGATCCTTGTTCGAATGTCCGTCCAATTTCCTTTTAAGACCGTTGATGAAGTTTCCATTTGTGCCAGATTTGTAACCTTAGTTCTCCCAGTCCTCCAGACAATTTGTCTACAATCGTACAACCGCAAGTTTGACCACGGATTGAGGTAGTTACCACCCAGCCTCAGAATATTCAGTCTTCAGTCTTTCTTCAATTTAGTCTTCCTCGTTAACTTCATCAGCACCACACTTTCAATGATATTAGTCCGCCGGCGTGTTTCTTAATAAAACACTGTAGGTACTATCACTGCGACTGTGTCCTTTCTTCTTCTCTGTTTGGCCTCGCGCTTAATTTCTCATCAGATCCACATGTTACATTTTTGCAAGCACATAATAATGATTGATATAATAACATATTCTAGGATGGATTTACAATAATTATTAAAAAAATCAAAACTAGATCAGGAAAGGCTAAAACATTGTTGTGGCTGACGTTAAGTTATACATTTCCTGAACACAATGCTGATTAGTCGCGAAGCACTTTCTGATTACATTTGATTTAAAAAAAGAAAAAGGGAAAAGAGTTTTCTTCAACAACTCACTGCACTCTTAACGAAAACACAAAGTTAGAAAGTAACCATGAAAAAGAACAATAACAGAAACAAGACCTGCTACCTATTCGCTCTTTGTACGCTACCGCCATAGGCATGCAGAGCCTCGATCTGGCAGCTTTTTCCGTGTATGAAAGTAATTTTGGGCATGATGTTGCGTTAGTTCTTCTCGTGATCTATTCTATACGATTGGAGAATATTTCAAAAGCTGTCAGTTCAAGGCTCTGCATGCCCATAGCGGCAGCGGCACTCAAAGAGAGGATGCCATGTACTGGGTGCATGCAGTCCACTATTTAAGTAAGAATTTTTGCTCAGCTTATTAGCATTAAAAATAGCAGCCCAGCATTTTTCTGAAAAAAGGGAGATTGTTTGGCCCCCGAAATGGTGAGATTGTGTAAATCGTTGTCAGGATCAACTGCCTGGGTCTTTGAGCTATCCTATGAGAGCAGAATGGCTGAAAACTACAACTGAAAAATGGTCCTAAGTGCCCAAGAAGGTTGAGGGTTGCCACTTGAAAAATGGCTGCAATCAGACTTCGGAAAAATCACTTTTAAGGGGTGATTTTGTTTTGTGGGAATAATTAAAAATGTAATTAGTTAGCCCACAATAAATTGAAAATAAATCAAAAGATTAGGGACCGGACAATAATTTTTCAGCAATCTCAACGATGTTGGTAAGCACGTTATTGGGCCCTGAACAGTGCCGATTTTACACTGTTTTCAATGGGGCTTGAATTAGTGGACTGTACCCTACTATTCAAGTACCGGGGGTAGAAATGAAAGAAAACAGTAAAGGCGCCCAAGAAACAAGAAACAAAGGGCGACAGCACACTACGCGTCGCGTCGTGCGTCGCCTCGTGCTTCAGGCGACGTAATAGGCGACGCGATCCACGACACGACGTACGACACGACGCACGACGGTACGACG